CAGCGGGCACAGCGGGCACAGGCGGAGCCGCTCCGGGACCAACGGCCTGCCCGGGCGGCCGCACGCAGAGGACAGGCCCCGCCTGCGCGCAGGTGATGCTGCGCTGGAAAACGCAAACGGATCGGAGCGAGCGCTTGCACAGCGCGGGTTTCTTCGGCCTTTCTGCAAGTGTAGCATCCGCTGTAGGAAGACAAAATACAGACAGACGGCTGCTTTAACTTCTAGTGTAAAATGTATTGGGTTTTAGAGGATGAAATGTGCTTGCGCAGAGGAAGAATGAAGCGGCAAGCCCAGGTAGGCTTATAACCGAGTTCGGCCGATACATCTCAAGCTGTACTGCCAAGTGCTTCTACTTTTCTTACTCTGCCTTTCAGGAGACACACTCAAATGCTCACTAACTCTGGCAAGCCGGTTATAAAATGTGTCTATTTAAATACAAGCGAATCACTCTTAACAGACATCTTAAGAGGCAATGCCTTCTTACGACCGCTGTGGCTGCTCAGCTTTTCTCTGCTGTTGCTGGGAATGCTGACACTGTCCTGCCTCTTAGGAAAGAGAGAAGAAAGCATGTAGAGCTTTGTCTAACGTGTCTTGCTGACATACACGAAACCACCCTGTGTTCATCTTCCTTAGGAATTAACACCCAGAGAAGAGTTAGAAGGAAATTTATGGAAGTCCAAGGGGAAAAAATGGCTGTTCTGAGGGGTCTTGTCATTGTAGTACTTGCATTGCTAAAGGATGAACAAAAAAGTTCAATCAACTAATGAAGTGTGTGCTTTGGATTGCCTCAGAGTTCCAGAATTTTAGCACCAAAAAAAGGATGAGTTGGGTTGATGCTTTTTCTGCTTTCAGGACATTGCTGCAGTCACAATTCCATATAGATTCTATGAGCGAAATGAACTGTGAGGCCATACTGTAACATCTCCTGTGTCTTGTATGATTTCTGTCCTACATGGTTGGTTTAATTTCTTCAAAGCATGTAGGAGCTCTGAAACACCCATCCCTCTGCCCAGTTGGACAGACTTGCACACTTTCTAAAGGAAAGGAACACAGTCAACCTTATTTCCTAAAGCTTTCCTTAGGACAATAGCTAGAAAAGTAACTTAGGTCTATGTTGACCTTTTAACTCTCGAGAACATAAATCAAAAAATATAAAATGTAGGCACTTCTTGACAACTTAGTGATGTTGTTAGTGAAGATATTTGCTCTTAATTAAGGTGCTGGGAAAATTCAGATGTAAATTTGGTAGTTGCTATGATGGAGAATTAACTAATTGGTAGAGGTATCCAGAAATAAATTTTTACAAACTTTTTTTTTTTTTTTTTCCAGATATGAAGCACTGTGCCCTGTGATATTTACTTTGCTGTTCTCACCATCGGAGGATGGCTGCCATACTCTGTGAAAATTCTTCTGGTCAGTACCACTACACCCAGGTCAACCAACCTCTTGAAATCAGCTGCATGTTGCTCCTGATTATGCTCGGCAAAGTGTTCCTTGATTTCTTCATGTTGCAAGTTAAACAAAAGAAGGTGAAAGTTAGTTTTATGGGATACTTTTGTGTTTCACTGGCGCTTCTTGACTTCACGCTGCTGCTGAGTATATCTTTCATTTTCTATTTTGAGGACTTTGCACTCTGGGGTGTGCGATTTACAAAGTACCACATTTGCCTGTTCACTCAGGTAATTTCTCTCACCTATGGTATTTTGCATTACCCAGTGTATCTTGTGGCGGGTCTGGATTATTACATGACTATAGCACAAACTTCTCAATTTCCTAAAAGAGGTCCAAAATTACTCTATGTATTTGCTGTGATTGTTATATGGATGTCAGGGTTTTTTTGCATTCTGAAAGTTCCCGCTATCTATGAAGAACTAGAAATTCAGAACCGTTTTTCTCCTTATCAGTGTCCTCTCTATGCCAGCATGCAGAGCTACTCAGTCTCCTGTGCCATGGTGCTGCTCTTGGGCATGGCTCTCCTGGCTTGTCGGAAGGAGGTTATCACCATGCTGCTGTCTGTCAGGGTAGGTTCCTTTGCCAGTCAGCCCGTTCTGATGTTCTCCTACGTGTCCAACAACAGCAGAGCTTGCTTTAAGTGGCAGCTCCTGACTAGACTCCTCATCTGTTTTCTTGGCACTTGGGCACCTTTTGTTCTTCTTCAAATGATCGTTTTGTTTCTTGGTGCTCGGATTCCAGCCTACATGGAGATGAACGTCCCCTGGCTGTACTTCATCAACAGCTTTCTCATCGCAATAGCATACTGGTGTCGATGTCACGATGTTGAACTGACAGAGGAGATGTGGTCTACAGATCCATTTGTCAGCTGGAAATTCTGCTTTATGCCGTTTAACAATGAAAACACAGAGCCAGCTGATAAGCCCAGCACAGTAATTGTAATCTGTTAATGAGCTGATGACTGAAAAGACTGCAAATAAGTGCCGTGGGACAGAAGCGTGTACTCCGACGTTCTGTGGCCGTGTCCTTACAGATAACACAAGGAAACCTTAGTCCAGAGCTACAGCCCGGCTCTTGCACCAGAGCGTGGGACGCTGCACGCTTCCACGCCGGGTTCCACTGGGCAGCAAGCACCTGCCAGCTCAGAGAATTTAACTTGAAAGTACGGGTTTAAAAGACCACTGCTTATATAAAACAAGTTTTTGGTTAAACCTTATGTTTATGACTAGCGTTTTACACGTGCTTTAAATGGAATGATCTCAGGTTTTATAGTATAAAATGCAATAAAGTCTTCATCAAAGCTGGAGGCCTTTTATCAGTCATGGACACATTATCCTATTGTCAGATGTTCAAACTTCTATGATCTTTTCTTGTTAAAGTGTGATATTTTGTCAGTTTAAGATTAAGGGTTGTCTGTTTAGCAAGAAATAAATTGTTTTAATTAATATAAAGCTACAACTCTTAGTAATATAAACTTTGTTTACGTAGTACAAAAATAGTGCAAGATATGCAACTTTCACGACTACCAGAGAGGTGGTATTTCTTTGCTACTGCTTCTCTAATGTACACATGTGCATATTAAAATGAAATAATTACCATCAGAGCAATAAGCTTAAATGCAGTGGCAATTACACTAACCAGGGAACAAATACGGATGTGCTTAACACATGAACAGTTCAACTCCCTATACTCAGCAGATGTGTGTGTTCTTACATGGTTAGTTGCTATATATAAATATATATAAATATATGCCTGAGGTTAAAGAAGGGCTTAAATTAACATAAATTTTGGTTTAAAGGCAAAATTACTTTGAAATTAAAATAATTAAATTTGAAGTGGGACTACTTCAGTAGGGGAAGAATGAGGCAGGCTTCTAGCAAAGATACTCTCAATTTTAAAATTCTTACAGTTTTATAAAGGTCTTTACAAAATTAAATTAAGAGAAATGATACACAACCAAAGCAGACAAATGGAAGTAGCATTTATTTCTGAAGCACTGAACTCACAATACAATGTTGTATTGAAATAGAAACTATATAAGTAAATGATGCTGCAGGTTGGTTAATCATTCACCCAGACCCACAGGGAACAATGATATCACACAAGAATACTCATTAAGAAAAATCTGCAGGATAACAAAAGGTGCAATTACAAGCAAGTTTAAGCAGCATAGTATAAGGTGCTTTGTTTCAGCATTTGTATGATGAATTTACCCATTAACAGACAGATTAAAGAAATTTCACTTCTACAGATCATAACAAATGAGAGAATCTAAAATTCATTCACATGCTACTTGGTAATAGGAAAGTGCTTTTTAAAAAAATGATTCACAAAGTGAAGATCATATTTTTACATAGTTCACTGTGCTCTTCAATTGTAAAATTTAATTTTTGGGTTATAATTTACATTACATATATCAATCATAGACATAGATTTAATTGCAGAATTTAATGCTACGTGGGCTAAAATTTCTTATAAAAGAATATTCCAGTATATCACTCCATAAGAATACACAATCCCATCTCAATCATATATTAATCTTACATTTCTGCAATGTATCAGTCCAATTATCAGTCTGATTTATTACTTCACCCCACATAGTGCTTCTTTCAACCAGAGTCTGTGGTAAATTTCTTCGAGGCCTCAGCGATGTACTCAAAAGGACATGAGCATTTTTAAGAAGTAGAAAATGGTTTAGGGAAAATCTGTTAAAAAGGCCATCAAAAGGACAGTAAATGATCAAAAACTGAATTTTAAAAAACTAGTGCAATAAGAGGAGGCAATGCTTAACAACATGGTTTGAAGTGTTTGGCACCACAAGTTATTTCATCCTTTATGCTGGAAAGTGTATTTGAAGGAAATTCTATTTCCACGTTAAAGGTAGGAAAGCACACACGATGTTAACTTGAAAAACAACCTGAAGCAATCACTCCCTGCTCTCAAACTGTAATTGCTGTTATTTAGCACTTGAGGTGCTGGAGGATAAACCATGTCCAAACACATTTTTTTGACAACAGCATTTCTTCAGGTTTTATATAAACTGGACACCCACTGAAATGGGGTTGACAAAATATTTACAAAACTTAATTCCCTTTAAAAACCAGCAAATATCTTAAATATAGTAATGCACCAGGCATTTCAGAAGATCATGAAATAACTAATCCCTACAGACTCGGCAGGCAAGGGAAAATTCCTAATTTAAAATTCATTTAACACCAGATGAAGGCAAAGTTATTTTCAAGAACATACACTTCAGCTGCTTCTGGTTTGTGTGGTTAGTCTCACCCTTCTAATTCATTAATGTATACAGAACTGGAACTGCAAGAAGTTGGGTGAGGCTGCTGACGTGTTTTATTTATTGGTGTGGTTCAGCTTATCAACCCATAATTAAAGTTTACACAACCCCATCTACCCTGATGTGGCAGAATTCCCGTAGTTGCTGCAGTGCCTCTAAAGCCATTTTCAGTTCTCAAAATTGTATTTTTTACAGGGAAACCACAACACACAACCAAAGCCAGTATGAAGGTACTGATGCTACATCACTGTATTGCTATCAAATTTGTTTTTCCATACACTTTGGGGAAAAAGTGCCAAAGAGCATCAACCTTTAGGCTGTTGCTACACCACCGAGTAGGTAATAGTGGCACAACAGGCCTTCACATACCATCCAACTGTGGTGTCTGAGCCTCCTAAGCAACTATTTTAAAATACGTTAATAGTAGCTCTCTGTAAGCCCACTTTTATCCTTGACTTTTTATGGAGGGAGACACCAGTTGCAAAGTGATCTTTATCCTATTATCTTCCTAACGATTATGTCTTTTCCTCTGTGTTTTCTTTCATCTGGTGCTTCTGGGAAGTCCTAACGCTGACCCTTGCACCCAGCCATACACATAAACCATTGCTCTGTGGAACAGGATTACAGCTTTGCTGCTGGACAGAAAGAGCAGAGAAGCTATGCTGGGAAGGTGGGAATCTCTGAAATAATAAAAACTATAGACAACCACTGCTGTATCTATCTCCTCCGCACATTGCTTCTTGTGCTGTGCCAGCAACTAATGGCCTTATACCATTCAAATACTTTACAGTCTTTAATTCTTATAGGATTATTTGATATTAATGGTAACAGCAGCTAAAGTGTTAACCCTTTATGAGAAACTTCTGTACTTTCCTCCTATAAAGAACCCCTTAAAAATCAACATTGATTTTAATGAGATATTCTGGGTTTTCAACTCCAAATAGAAGCATTTGGCACTCATTAATAAACCCCTTCATTCTTCACACACTTCATTCCTGACCAGTACGGGTTTGCTACCACTGTAACACAAAGGCTACTTAAAAAGGAAGTTGGGTGTGCAGAATACTTCACTGTTCTTTCAAACAATGACTTTGCAAAAAGCTGCCAGAGGACGGCATCGTCCTGGCTGCCAATACACTGGCCAGGTAGCAGAGGACAACACGAGTCTTCCCACAGGTTGACCGGACTTCACCCGCAAAGCAGATATGCCTCATGAATCAGTTATATTTGTGCTTCTAGCCTAATCCCATAATCGGCAAGGATACCCTGATTTAGTACCTATAAACAATACTATAAGCCTTTCAACAACCCTACGTAACCGTACAGTGCTTTTTATGCACAATTAAAATGCTCCTTAAGTGTTATGTATTGCACTTAAATGACATTTATGATCACTCTTCTATGAATGTACAATTGTGCTCAAATTGTAATTCTTTCTAGTTGGAAAAAAATCTCTTTAGATCTCCTTTTTCTAGTTCCTTACTATACACAGTCATTTTGGACAGTCCCTCAGGAAACTAATACATGCTGGAAGTTTAACATTTTTTAACGTAAAACCTGTTCATAGCACTGACTCCCAGAACTGTGCTTCGGAAAAGTTAGATCAATGGTTACAAAACCTAGACTATAAACTCACTATGCACCTTCAATTACAAGCATATTCACATCTTCGAATTTTGTTTTTTCCTTCCACTTCACTGTAAGAGATTCGTAAATAATGCACACAACCTTCAAGTGTGTAAGTTTTAATGCGGAGGTTACACAAACCCACACAGCAGTTTAGGATGGGGGCCTTGAATACGTGTGGAAGTGCTGACCGTGAGACCCAGGGGACAAGTAGGACACAACATGCTCCAGCCAACACAGGTGACACCCAACAGGGCAAAAAGCACACTGAGAAATCTCTATGGAGAAGGAAATGGCATGTCATGGAGCTCCTCCAAGTTATGAAGAGGGTAAAACCAAATCAGCCTGATCGATATGGATTAGGGTAATGTGTGCTACCTGCTTCTGTGCATGGCCGATGTCCCAGGCTCTGACTGCAGGGCACAGGCTGTCCATCAGCTCAGACTACGTTAGGAACAGCTTCTTCAAAAAGTAAACATCGCATCTACGCTGCAGGCACTTATCTGGACCACAATTACCATCTCGTTTTTAAATGTTGCTATTCACAAAGCAATCCAGTGGATGCAACGACATAGAACCAATAGGGTTTAATGAATTCTCATGCCTAAAGGCAAATTCCTTTAAAATAAGCTTAATTTAGGCTTAGCTTAAATGAACTAAGCATTAAATGAGTTAAATTTCTTTCTCCTCACAATACTTCCTGTCCAAAACTGCAGCTCACTGTGCAAGAGTGACTTAAAAATTAATTCATTATGAGCAATTATTAACACCTTATATTGAAATTACATATTTATCGCTCTGTTCATACCTGTTCCACTCAGCATTCAACAGAAACCATGTGTTTAAAACAAAATACTTTAAAATGTTAGTTTCTCTCCATCTCTAATAAACTCATTTGGGTGAATGTTAAAAAAAAAAAAAAAAAAGTATCCTATATTGATTCTTTTGCAGGGTCATTATCTGCAGCCTAGAATAACTGATGAGTAAGTCTGGTTAATGAGTGACAACTATGTATCTATAGATGTGCTAAGGGGACATCTCTATGCAATACTGGTAAGAAAATAACCCTGCAAGCTTTTATATACATGCTTAATATTAACAGTCCCAATACAATCAGAAAAAAATACTCATAAATTATGTGGGCGTTCAATTATTTGCAAAACCAGGACTGTCACTGAATTCTTTGATCACTTAGAGCTGTAATTTGTCAATGTGTAAGAAATTTCTTAAGGTATTGAGCTGTAAGTTTCTGCATTGATACTGTGATATTAAAACGAGAACAGCCATCTGGAATAGGCAATACTTCTAACTGGAATGCCAGGCTGTGACACGCTACCCCAGCAAAGTCTCACTATATAACCTTTCATTCAAACTACAGTTGAATGGTTTTATACCTGAACATTTCCTTAGAGCTAAGATTAAGATAAAGAAGTGATACAAACGCTATTGTAAGCCTGCTCAAATACTTGTTTTTATCCCATTCCTTTCCTCTTGCTGCCACATCTGCAGTTATGATGGACTCTTGTTCTATCCAAAAGGCTAGATTCCCACTTGTGATTTGTCCAAAAAGAAGTTAGGGAAAAAAAAAACAACACGCTTTCACAGGAAGGAAATGAGTAAGCAGATGCAGGACATAAGCCTTCTATTTGAGAGATCTCATTGTCACAAATCTTGCAAAAGTTTTACCCTCCATCAAGAAATTAATTTCTTGAAAAAAATATGGATTAATGGGTAAAGAACAGATTTATGATGCAGTCTGTTTAAAAACCCTTCAGACATTCTCTGATGATTCAAGACAACTGGCAGTTTAACCTGACAAGATTATTTTTTTTTTTTTATTCTCTGTGTAAGCAAGGTGATAAGTCACAAATGTGAGGCAATATGGGTTGGCTGGGAGAAGTTAGCAATTCACTGGCAATGCTTGTTTCTGAACAAGGAGCAGCCTACAGCTCCCTGAGCACTTCAGTCAGTGGAAGTGGCCAAGCTTCCTTGCTGGAGTTCTCTGCTTTGGCTGCAAAGCAGGGTTGCTGAATGATAATCACCCAGATTAAGCAGGGGAGTGAGTCTGCATGCCCATTTTGACCGTTTAGGTGCATTTCTTTAAAGCCCCAAATATAAACTCTGAAGCTGCGACAAGTGTAATAGTTATAATTCTACTGGAAGAAATTTTAACAGGCACATTCAGCCCAGTGCTCTGCAAAAGGGTTTTGTCCTGAGCTACTGCTCAGTAGTAGGGTAAAATGGAGACTAGTGGAGAAAAAAAGAAAGGGAAGAAGCCATCCAACATATCTCCCTTTAGAGCGAAGATCTATGGCATCCTGTATCCCTTTCTACAGGAACTGAAATATTGCAGGGATTACGGTGAGGTGTAGCCCGCAACAGCAGTCATCTGAATGCACAAAACAACCCCCCAGGAAATAAAGCTAATAAAAAGGGTTTCTTGTAGACACATCCAGTGGGAGCAAGTGTTAAAAAACAGTCAATTAAAATCTGCAATACTTCCTCTTTTGCAAGACGGTCTAGCTTAATTTGTGGGGAAAGCCATGGGAAATGGTAGTATAAACCCTAAACAGAAACAAGTGATTGGTATGCAAAATGGTTCTGGAGGAATATTACTCTAAGTATTATATTGCTTTTCTGAATAAATTCAAAAGCTGACAAAGTAGACTTCAGTTACACTTGGAAGTTTTCCAGCCTCCTTTTACATACAGGTGTGATTTTTTTTTTTTTTTAAACTGACTTTATTAACACAGCTACACTGGCAAACACTCCAGTACACGTGCATTGCTATCAGCATAGGTTAGTATAGCTGTGTCTGCTTTTAAGTTCTTGCTTAATGCCAAAATCAGTGAAGGAGAATAAAAACTTTCAATATGCATAAGGCCCACATTCTTAGTTGCTGCGTTCATGAATATTTAAAGCATAACTCACTATCTGTGGCTCTCCCAAAACCACAGATAATGTAGTGTACTAGAAGAACCAGAACAGACGTGCATTAATCAGGTCTACTCTGAGCTCCTGGCATCTGTCAGTGATTATGTCCAAGAGTCATATAGAAACACTAGCTGTAGAAGGTCTCCTGAAAGCTGTCTAATAAAGCAAAATTAAAACAGCTGTGAAATTCTCATGCATGTAACACCACTGTGATTAGCTGTGGGTCTAAATAAGACTCTTAAGTCCACATTTTCAAATATGCCTTAAGCCATTATCAAATCACATTTACGTATACCTACTTTTTACATTGCCAAAGAACAATACAATCAGAAGACAGATTAAAAATTAGCCAGTGAAATTTTCGTATAAAAATAATAAAACTTTAAGACAAAAGCCAAAGGATAAATATCTAAGATATCTTTAGTCTTCAATTAGCTCATCAAAACAGAACGTATCCTTTAGAACATATGTTACAGATATGCTACACTGTGTATCTTACAGAAATGCTACAAATGGGAACCTACTGTCTCCATCATTTGAATATCTTTCAAATGAACATTGCCGAACATTGAACCTTCAACTAAGAAGTTTATTTTACAATAGTAACTGAAGACAAAAAAACAAATTAGAAAGTGCTTAGCAACTTCCCTCCAAAATAAACCCAGACATCAATTAATTCTCTACAGCCTTTGGTGCCATTTGGATAAGGGCTCTCACCACATACTAGCACGTAACAGCAACAGGTTGTCCTAACTTGGAGCTTCAGTGGTTAATAAAAATATTAATAACATCTGCTATTAGTAAGGTCAAACAGTTGTAATTAAAAACAATGATTCTAACGCTGATCTCTGGAGGATCATGGTAGAAAGTCTGTTAGTAGAAACAAAGCAACAGTTTAATTAAAGGAAAATGAAGCACAGATTTTTCTGTAATCCCAATTTACTCTTTAAAGTCATCAGTTAAATAATATACATATTAATCTACCTGTCATAAACCTTCCTTTCAGCCAGTGTATGTGCATTGACTCCTTTTGATCTAGGTCAGCAGTTCTCAAGTTCTCAGTTCCTCTTCTTTTCAGGAACACTTTAAAGTCCCCCTGACCATCTCCCTACACAATCATATATTATGCATTAATTTGCATAAAATACAAAATACATTATTTGCAGACACATACACATATTTAATTCAAATATACAATGACTCCATTGGCACACATGCCCTTCTTGCCCTATACAAGAGCTTAGGGATCTAGGTCTGTACATAAGGGAAGTGGAACTGCAAAAGGGAGGGAACAGAAGGTACAAAATACATCCATGAGCATGGATCACGCAGGTGATGGGGAAGCAAAGGCCAAGCAGGCGCGGCTGCTTGCCAGCCCAAGCAGCTTCCGAGCACATCAGTAACTCGGGAAACATGTATTTGTTCCACATAAACAGTGCGAGAGGGGGAAAACGGAGTGAGACACTAAAACCCCACCACCTGGGTCTGCAGCATCCAAGTCAAAATCTCCTGGCAGAGGGACAAAGCAGGGTCCCGAGAGATTTCTCCCGGAGTTGCCCACCGGTGGCACTGCTCCTGCCAACCCGCAGCTCCAGGCTCCCTCCCTGCAGCAGCAGCTGCTCCTACACCGAGCTCTGAAGGGACCTCGTCGAGCAACTCACCATGCTCCTTCCTCAGACTACTGCAAGCCCAGCTCATGCTAGCCAGTGGACAAATAAAAGGTGCTTAGAAGTTTCCAGTGAGGCAGTGGGAATGCGCTACAGGGAAAGACAAGGTAGAAGAAGTATCAAGAAAGAGAGCATCTGAGCTATGCTATCCCTTCTCTACCTCCAGTCTTTAAAGTACACTTGTCTCAACATGAGCTAGTTCTGGCTGCAGTTTTCAGCCCCTCACACCCAGGCATTTGGGAACCTGAACCCCGAGTATTCTCACACCTTCTGAACCCCCATTTGAGAACTGCTGGTCTAGTTTAACTAGCAGCATGCAAAACTACAAACCTAACATCTTAATGCCCTCTTAGTGCATAGCAGCATACAAAGAGTAAAGTAACATGTGCTTCAGTTACCTCTGGCAAGAGTGTCACGCCATTGCATTTCAGTAGCCTGACGATGAGGATTTTGATGAAACATCTACACAGATTATAGTATTTCCAGACTTCAAGAAAATACTACAGTGGCAGAGATGAGGGTAAGCTTCACGAGGAAAACTGGCTGCCAACCTACCCCTTACAAACAATTTGCTCAAGACTAAAAGAAACTCAGAGAGCACAACTAAATGCATAGCATTTTACTGTCATTAGTGCTTCCACAGGGTCTGTGGACACTTGTGTTATTTCAGTCCAAAAACTGCTGTATGTGGGAAAAATCTTTCAGAATACAGCAACACAATTTAAACGGTGTTTAGACTGGGGTGGGTGCTGAGAGTGTTAATCAAACATAAGATAAAGTACATGTTGAGGAATATTTAACCTAACACAGCATATTTTACTTCATGTTTTCCCATGAACTCCCACTTCAACTCAAAGTATTACTCAGGCTTTACCATGAACCTGTTAATCGTTGGAAACTACAAGGGACTACCTGGTATAATCAAAGGAACATTTTGGAGTCTTTATGTGGGGAAAACCCCACATATTTAACAAAACATCACAGTAACACTCATGCCACAGTGAAGATGTTGGCATATTACTGTCGGTTCTGTCACTGAGAAACTGTTGTTTAAACCTTCATGTTCACCCCCTAAGATTCTTTCAATGAATTGATGCGTGCACAGATTTTCAATGCAGGTCCAAGCTTAATATTCATTGCACTCATAAGGTGATCCTCCTTCAACAAGAGGAGAGCTTGTCCATCAATTTCTTGTGCTCTAAATTCATCTGCAATATCTTGACAACCTATAAGGCAACAGTAAAAACAATTACTGGGTTAAAAATGTGCATTCTTAGATGCAATGACTACTATCCACACTAGAGCTTTTCAGCTACGCAGTTTCCAGTGCTCATCCCTCTAGCGTGTAGAGCCTAAGGTATATGCAGGAGCTCACTATTATTACAATGGGGACTTCTGAGGTAATCTGAAAGTAATTTTCATTATAGCCTCTAATTACACTGTAATTATTGGAGAAACGCTCACTGGAAATTTCAAGTCCTAGCAAAGACAGCCTTTTCATTTCATTAAGAGGAACAATTGACATGATCTCACAATTGGAAGAGACTGGCAAAATAGCACTAAAATAGCAATCGAGCATAATTCAAGTGGGTTCTTTCCAGCCAGAAAAAGATACACACATTCTACTGCTACATACAACTCAATGAGAAAATTCACACAGCTACAATTTCCAGAAAGGTGTTAATTTCATCTGTATGATACCTTCACTGGGTTAAGTAAACAGAATTTTGATTTATGGGCTTTAGCGTAACTCTCTCAAACACATTTATCATCAGTTCTCTGAAAGAATATTCTATACACAGCAATAACTCACTTCACAATAACAACTTTAAACTAGTTGGTTTGTTTTTTTAATGATAAACTATTTTTTTTCTGAACACGAAATAACATGGTCTCAGGTTACTGAGGCCTACAATATAAGAAAAAGGACTCTTCAGTTGTTGGACTGTCCCAAGTAACTGTGGGCCCCTTTCCGCTGAAGAACGCTATGGAAACAAAAAGTTCTTCGAAAGATGTTCTGGACATCTGTTACACAGAAACAGTCAGTTATGCCTGGCTGCATGGCAGCTCTGTTACATGCACAAATATCTTCTAACAGTGTGAATAAGAGCACTAATTGTCAGTTGTTTATTTGAAGCTTCTTTCTCCATAGCCACGTTTTTCGTGGTTTTTATATATTTATGTTCTCAACTCGGTGATCTCTCCATCTGCCTCAGAGCCTTTCAGCCACATTTTAATTTGTGCCTCCACCTTCTATTCCTGCTTTCAATTATTCTGCAGTTAAGTCTACTTTTTAGCATTTTTATATCTTCCTCTGTTCTAAAAGTATACTATTACAGAGATATGAAAATACTGTCAAGGACTCCTTTTCCATCCCAGATAAGAGCAACTGATTAAATTCATGTCCTCTTGTGTGCTCAGATTTAAATCCTATAGAGTCTCATTTCCTGATGGATTTACAAATGTGTAAGAGACAAATAGAAAGGAAACGTGGAAGGAAGTATTGCCATCCAAGCATTAATTAGGATTATTACTGTGGAGTGGTCATAACATTCAAGGTTGGAAAAGAGTAGCTTTTCACAAAGAATAAAGCACAATTTTTTTTCTTAATCATTTGTTAAACAGATCTCATACAATAATTAACTGACACGTCATTAAGGAAAGGGAAAAATTAAAAGATAATTTGAAAAGAGAAAGGTCTTATGGAATTTTATTGTAGCCTCTGGCTACACCTCTAAATCTCTGTATTTTAGGTAACAACATATAAACTACAATCCCCAAAGTAAAACAGTTACTGTGTAGCAGTTGGCTAACTTTTAATCAGAACTAAGAACTACACTTTCCATAACATTTAAGACAACACAGCTTTTAATACATGATAAATGCCCAGTCCTTGGGCATTTTTTATTGTAACAAGAAATTAAGAGTTGTATCTTTAGGAGAAAAACCCCACAAATTAGTTTGTCACAAACAGCATTTATATAGCCACTAAAACCATTAAAATGTTTTAGTAGTTGCACGTATTCTGTAACATTTACTTTTAATATTTCTGGTGTGGTGATGCACTAGTGCAGCCCAGCAGCCCAGTAAGAGGACATTTTTCAGGAGCCCAGAGCTGTCAGAGAGCTCCTGGAATGGTGCTTGCAATTCCAGCTACAAAGTGAAAATAATGCCACCAGGAACATGAAGAAAAATCTGAAGACAACTGACCATTCTCAAGAAGATTAAACAGCTCTAACATCTTCATACAGGTTCTTATTTATGTACTGACACCAGACAAAAATCTGTAAGTCAAGTACTAAGTAAGTATTCCTGTGAAAGGTATCACTGTATGCCTGACTTTAGACCTGAATATGGCGATTGTCCGACCACAGCATTTACAAAGAAATCTGAGAGATCAAGAGAAGTTTTTACATTTAAGAACAAAAGCAGTACTGTTAAAATAGATAACTGGTTGTTGTTGCAGGCTTTTTTCTTTAAGCAGGGTATGAAGCATTCCCATGCAACTTTTCCTAAAATACCTTTTCTCAAAGATATTTTGGAAAAGCAAAGGATGAAAGTTGATGTATTTTAGTTCCCTCATCCAAGCACATTCGGGTATTCTTAAAGCATTTTTACAATAGGCTGCTGAGCAATAACTTACTAAAAAAAGGATGGGAAGTGAGAGAAAGACCATTAATCTTGCAACTGAAGGAAGAAAGGAGGAACAACTCTGCTGGGGCTTAAACTATTACTGTCTCTTTCCCCCAGCAGAAAGAAGTAACAGTAAAAGTGTCCTACAATCTTCATTTCTCCAAAAGGCTCCAGAGGAATTCAGGAAAAGCCTGACAAGAACACTTGACTCTGCAGCTAGATCTCAGCTACAGACTAATTGGAAAGCTGTATATCAAACCAGATGCCAACTAATGTTTATGAAAAGCTGACAAATCACCATCTCCTACAACACGGCAGATGGTCTGCACAAGTATATATTGCAAAATAGCATCATGAAAGTAGATATTGCAAAATAGCATCATGAAAATACAATTTCTTGTCTTATTCAACTCTGACAGCATTGAAAAACTATTTTTTCCAAGAGAGTGGCTTGAGAATATATTGAACAGAAGAAATCCCCAAATTGCCAAAAAATATGAACGTAGCTATGTAACAATAAAAATTCTGGCAGGTTATTAATATAATTTTAAATACCTATTGAACATTTTTTTCTAAAAAGTATTTGAGAAACTAGTCCTTAATATAGATAGGAATGAGTAACTATAATAAATTTTCATTAAATACAGAAAAATAGAATGTTTGTTTAAAATTAAAGATTACATTGTTTATAGAATACAAAACCCCCCAGATGCAGCAGCTAGTGGAATATTCTACAAGGAATGCTTTCAAACTAGAAACCACATCTTAAGAGTAATATTTTTGTTTTCATACTTGCAAGTGAACTGTGTTTATGTGGTGCTTTAAGTTTTCTAGGACAGGAACTATCATTTATTCTTTTGCAGAACCTAGAATGAGGAAGTTATTGAATTAACTAGAGCCTCAAATCTATAAAAACAGTAACTCAAAACAGCAACAATACAGTCATATTCCTGTAACACAGCTAAAGTACAGAAATATGAATGACCGTATCTTAAACCTAAGGAGATTTGTTTGTTTTTACAGACAACAACTGCAGACTCCCAGAAGCAGATAGTGTAACTTAATTGCAATTTATAAACCACCAGAAGAAAGTTACTTCGAGGATGATTTCTGCTGATTTAAGACATCCCTTACTCAATTCTTTGCCTGACCTACTTTATGAAACATTAACTGTCAAAATGCGTGTTATGACTTAGCAATGAAGACATTCCTTACAGGTTATTAGCCTAATGGGATATGCAGAAAAATGGTTTAGTATTTCTAAACCTCAAAAATAGGAATAAACTTAACCTGGGTTTCATTGTTTTGTAATGAGAGTTACATGGGTAAGAAACAAAAGTTCTCGTACGGCTGATATTACGGAGAAGTACCTTGTTACCTGGAAGGATTACAGTACCTGATCCGATAGAACGGCATCCCCAGGAAAGAGAGGGGAGTGAAACTTTAAAGCTTACAATAGTTAGGAAATGATAAATAAATGTCAAATAACCTGAAGATGATATAAAGGGAACAGAATATTGAGCTAAAGAAAAGGTTTGTAAATAAAGAGAAGATTTTTGTTTTCTGAGAACAGACTGTCTCTACCTGAGTCTAGTCCTCTGCATATCAGTTACTGAGTAAAGCTATGCAAAACAGAATTTAGCTCTATAGAAGAAACTTGCTTATTCTTTTTTAATGATGTATCATGACAACTCTTTCAAATTTTTCAGTTGTATAAAGGAAAATAACTCCCTTCTTGCTTCTTCTACTGAATAAGCACCAAGTAAGGAGGGAAAAGAAAGAAATGTAAAAGGGAAGAAGTGTGTCTGATCTCTCTACTGACCTCCTGAGAGAAGTCAGACTGAAGGGAGCAACAGCTCTAATCTCCATCAGCTGCAGTGCAACAGCAGAAGTGGGACTAGTTCTATCAACATGTGATTTGTGCTGAAGGAACGAGCAAGAGGAAAGAAATCACATTCCAGTTTCTATCACCAACTAACAAGTACACTAGTGCTGTTAACCACACCACCTCCTCATCACACTAATGCTAAAAAGCAGGGAGCTTTACTGTTTACTGTTAAAAAAAAAAAAAAAAGAAGGAACAAGTTATTGCACATACCAGGCAAAGAATGTATGAAGGCCCAAACTTCATCAACAGTCCATACTGACGGGTCGGCTTGCACCACTGGTAACAAGTCAATGCTCTCTGGCATTTTCCTCATTCTTAGTTCCCTAAGTTCACGTTCCCTCTCTCTTTCACTCTGTCTTCGCAGACGTGTGGTCATGGCAGCTGGAACAGCATCTTCATGAGAAGCCATATCTTCTTCTGCAGATGGATAAGTAATTGGAAGCTGGAAAACGTAGTACAAATATACTACAGTATTATATTTTATTTGTAATTCCCAAAACAATGCCATAGTTTTAAGCAAATATTCCACAGACCTGTCTAAGAAAATGGTCTCGTGGCGCCCCATCAGGGCCACTCGGTTGACGCCCGCGTCGCCCAAGACTTTGGCTATCTGATTTCCGATTCCAACGACTGCTCTTGTCTGATGTAAACAGCCCAAATTTCTTAGTGCAACTAAGGCTGTGCCTAAAGAAGTAAGATATATTCAATAATGCACTAATAGCTTTTTGGACTGAATTCAATCAAGTAACCATAAAATTACAGTGTTGTAGAAACTCTGCCTAATTAAAGACAACAGCTGTCACAGAAACACAAGAGAAAGGTATCTCAACGGCCATTTACTACAAGCCCTTGCCTTGATGCAAGATCAAGTACACGTAGATCATCCCTGGAAGATGTTCCACCTTTCCCACGCTTAAAAATTTCCCATGATAGAAACACCTTTGCATTTTATCACAATGTCCAATCCTGCTTCTCTAAAAAGTCCACTAAAAGCCTAAAGTCACATTATCTTTTGCTGCCATTTTTCCTACTTAGCTGATACCAAATCAAAGGAGGATGGAGGTAAAAAACCCCAACATTTTAAGATTAAGGGGCCAAATCCCTTTTTAAGATTATTTCACTGGTACTATCCCAACAAGTATCAAATAAAAAATACACATTCCCACTACTTAAAATGGGAATGTCTCACATGGAGGATTAAAAAAGTAGCAGACATAAAAGGAAGGTGGACTCCAAGCACTCTGGAGAAAAAAAAAAACCAACTAAGCGGTGATTAAAAATGGGAAACTATTCCCCATTTCTATAAAAACTGGGATTAAATATCAATTTTCCAGCTGTAATAATGGAAGATTTTATATTCAGATGTTGACTATGAATTCTTCCTCAACCAAAATAAAACCAGCATACTAAACCCAGAGAAACATACACCAGCCATTTTTCTGTGCCAACCATGTACAAGCAAACAGTATCACTTACTATTTTCAAGGAAGGAGAAGCTTTAGAAAACACTAAATATTTTAATGAATATTTCTATTTTACTCTATGCAAATAAAGAATTTTTATACTGTTATAAAACCAGTGTTTTTCATAAAAGAATGTTTTGTCTATGCAGCATTTCAATTATGCCAAAATAAATTCAGTCACTTTTTTTTTTCCCCCTAGCATCACAGAAAACTGTAAGAAAGCTCACCTAGCCCAGCATTCTTTCTCTGACATTGCCCAACAAAGACAACAGGAATAGGAGAGATATATAACAATTTGTGACCCATGAACCTTTGCACCAATTTCCAAACACTCAGTAACCCTTCCTGGATTTCTCTTCAATGACACCCATCACCATCCCATAAGCCCAACAGCATTCACAACACCCTCTGGAAAGAGGTCCACAGTTTTACTGTAATCCCCTTTTGTCTATCTTCTTGAAATATAATCTACCATAGTCCTCCGTACCCACATGCTCTGCTAATTCAGAAGGCAGTCATGTTTTACTGTTGATTCTTCAAAATCAGATACTATTTGGGTGCTGTTCCATTCATCACATAATAATAAGCAATAACTAGACAGAGTACCTTTTGGCACAGGATGTGGAGCAGAATCGTTTTGACCGTAGAAACTTATTAGAATATCCCATTTTCCCACAAAATTCACACTTCAAAAGATCATTTTCAATTTCATCCAGTCCCTCTAAAGAAAGGAGTGAGGCATAAAGAAGTCAGTTTCAGTGACAGAAAATTATGTTCAAAACTCATTTCAAGCAGGTAAATAGAAGATTTTCAAATATCTACCACAATTAATACTTTGATTAACAGAAAAATATGCAAAGCTAAGCAAGTCATAGATTTCACTCTCTACAGAAAAGATCTTGAGCAAACTGAACCTTACTGAACCTTCAATTAAGTTATTCAGTGGCCTTAATTGGCTTTTTTGTTAAAATTTCAAGCTGTCCATGAGCAAGTATGCCCTCAAACACAGGGAACAATTAAAACGAAGTGTTACAGTCCTCATGAATTGCTTATAAAGAGTTCATTAAGAGAACCAGGCGTTCCAGTCTAGATTCAAGTTTTCCTGTAATGACACAATACCTTTTAAAATACATAAATGACATAAACCCTTTAAAAATACTTTCTTTGAATAAGCAACTGTTACAACCAAAGTAACTTGTGAAAGCAAGTAAAACACTGAATCTTATCTATGAAAAAGATAAGCTGTGTATAAGAAAAAAACGGATTATAGCACCTACCAATTTACAGTCTACTTTTACAGGATATTTTCCTATTATTGGTGAGATGAGGAGGCACTTTTCCTGCCTCTTGTGAAGAACTCAAATGCCAGCTGAGAGAAGTATCAGTGAAAAAAAAAGTAGAAAAGCCCAAAAGGCTGAATGCCTATGGTCTCTTCTGCTGGAAGCGTATTTTGTGGGTAGAGCATGGTTTGTACATAGTTTAGAATAATGCCACCATATCCACAAACCAACCTGACTTCTGGCATGGAAAAGAAGCAGCCCTGATCCCCATGGACCATCTGTGAAATACATCATAAGGAGCGAAGGAGTGAAACTGGCACAAACTGAAATGTAACATTTTGTGGTCATTCAGGTTAAGTAGAAGAACCACATGCCACATGGCTGCAATCACAGACAAAATACACTGCTCAAAAATTCAGAAGACTAAACAGGCATTTCTCCTTTGTTTCTATTTTACCCGAGTCACTGTTTCACACACTTTGCCTCTTGCTATTCACCTTCTACTTTTCCATTTACATAATTATTTTCAAAAATTGCAAACTAGCTTTTTGTTCTAAACTTTGTAAACTCTGACGCAAATGCAGGTATCAAAGGCTAACTGAAAGGTTTTAACTATGGATTTGTAAAACACTATTGTACTGACAAGGTAACAAAAAAGCACTAGCACAGCAAAGAGGTGAAAATACCGAAAAGGGTGTTCCAATAACATATCTGATGTATCAGGACTCAAAGACATAATGAAGTCAACAAATCCTGGCAAGGTCAGACTGAAAATTACCATGTTGCAAGTCTCCAATTTAGGAAGTTTGTATTACATAGGGAGTAAAAACTGGAAATTGGAAACATACCAAATCTGACCAACCTTGCAACTGAGGTTAAATGCCAGAGATGCATCCTTCAAATAAATCAATCACTCTAAACAAAACCAAAAAAAAACACTCACTCCCAATCCAGGTCATGCTATGTGGAAAAAAGTGACAAGAGTGAAGCAAAAATTGATACTAAGAGCCTTTTCTTTTGCATATTATGTGTTTCTACCACACATGCAATCATACCCTGGCTTAGTATCAGAAAATCACCTTTGCTCAACTTCTGCATACGGGGATGTCTCTCAATGCTGGATGTTTCCTACTAGCTCATTTAATGAGTAGTTGCAAACTGTGTACATAAACCTAACACTGCTGTCAGGAACAATAACTAAAACCAAAAATTTGAATGTTTGAATAATTTCATAAAAAAAAGACAAGCTGTTTGAAATCTGAGAAACAACACAGTGTTAATACTGGAAAGTTCTTGGGGAGTACTACTGAAAACTAAATTAAGATCTAGTGTAACAAATTAAGGGCAAAATAATGATTACAAACAGAGCTTCAAATATTCTAGAAGATAGACCATACAGCAAAAAACGTGGTTTGTTGGTTTTTTGTTTTTTTTTTTTTAATATACTGGGTGAAACAAGTTATTAAAAAAATACCTGTACCCTTGGTCAAGAAAGCAAGTTCATTTAATAGAAATTTATGAAGCAATTTACTAAGCAGTCATGGGCTAAAAGATCTACATGTCTCATTTTGTGTGTAGAAAGGTAGTACAACTCCATTGAGCTGTAAAATAACCAAAAAATGTCAACACCATTTACCAGATGACTTTTCTGGTTTTAAAGCCTCTTGTGCTTGATGCTTTCATGTCACTGGACTTCCCTCTCAAAGAACTGGTTAAATGGAAGTCTTCCCTGGGAGATACTACCCAAAAAATAGCAAATTTAAATAAAAGACAGGTTTAGAAAACTTCCAGTCACACAGCCCTCCACTACTAATATGTCAGATGCTTGCCTTCTAAAATTTAGTGTCATGCCTATGTGAAGGTTTGTGAAGAATAAGGTATGGGCCTCAAATGATTTTACAGGAGAATATTGTGTAATATATTTTAAAAGTGGACTTCATAAAAACTGTTTCTTCATATTTCTACACAGGCAACTTAATTACAGTATATTCAAGAGAAAGTTACAGTTACAAAGCAAAGCACTTGAAGTATCTGCCACTAAACCAGTCTGTTACTGCAAAATGAAGAAGGGCTCTGGACTATAGTGAGACATACAAGTAAATGCAATCATGTAATCAGCCATAATTTAGGAAATATTATTTTATGTTTCATTTTCAGGCACTTTTCTACAGTTTCTTCCTTCTTTGCACAGATGTTACATCAACATGGAGGAGGACTGCAACCCGTCAATATTTCCTTCCAGTGACGTGCTTCTAAGCTAAACTGGCTCCTACTACAAATAAATGCTGCAAGTAAAAATATACTCTTAATTTTAAGCAAAGATACATATTGCCTGAGCAGTAAAGTAAATCAGCCTTAAGCAAAAGTTCCAACCATATTTACTTGACTTCACTACCAGCAAATACTCTCCTTGAATTCAGAATGCTTTCTAAAGCAAGCTTTTTACCTTGCAATCCTTGACTTGGGTCCAACCCAATACACTTACAAGCAGTAATGGATATAAATCATTGCAGTAAAAAAAATAATGTCTCAGAATCTAATAGTCTAAAAGACTGAATTTTGAGCTAATTTGTTTGCTGAGATACACAACGGATGGAGCCAACTTCCTTACTGCATTTCAGTGCCATTTACTAAGGCAGAAATCACATTAGCTAACTGCCATCGGTGTTGCTATCTTTAAAGTTCCTGGAAGAAAGGCTCGGAGGATGGACTGTTTTAATTAAGTGACAATTTACAATGCCTGGAGTGGGAAGGAGTTGAAGCACAGCTATGGTGACACTTGCTACTGCTCAAGACACGCCATCCTGACTTTTTCCAGCCACTCCCCTGATGCAGACCTGGGGCAGTAGCAGGCACTGTATTTGTCCCTTCTTACCCCACTTACTAGTTTTGATATTAAAGAGGGAAAACAATTATTTTAAGAGAATGAAGCCAAGAGTTTAAGTCAAATCTGAACAAATCACCAAAACCAGCTCCTATGCAATTGCTCAAGCTGTGGAAGAGAAAATCCAGAGGTAGCTGAAAAATTCTGGACTTTCAAATCTTGGGTGAATCTCCAGAAAAATGTGAGTTAAAGAATAACTTGGCTTTTCTGGGCCATGCTATGTTTAATTTCCATTTCATAACACTCATGAGTCTACCTACGTTTGGGCTTGAACAGTAATAGTGGTGTTAACACATCCAAAATAGTTGATTGGCAAGTTCTGAAAAAATCCACGATGATGATTATGTCAGTTACTGCATGGGGAACCCAATTTAGCTTGTGAGTTGTGCCAGAGACCACTCTATTCTAAGCAGAACAAGGCACAGCTTCTTCATATTTGTGTGCAGCCACAGCAACTGCTGTTATGAAGTGTAGCTAGTAAAAACCATTTGAAAATAGTTTCTATTAGAGATAGTATAAAGAGTGGATAAAGATGCTACAAGTACAGACGGGATGGGATTCTGTAATACATACAGAACTGAAGAAAAAAGGATATTTAAACAAAAACTACAAACCTTCTGCAATCATATCCTCTATCTCTGTGTCCGATGAGTTGTCCGCATGTTTTGTATTCTGTAAGTCTGATTCAACACACACAACACTCATGATTTGACCCTCCACTAGCAATCTTTTTTCTGCAGGTTGTTCTACCAGCAAAGATGAACGACTTACCTATTGCAATAAAAGCAAAGCAACAGTGATTAACTGAACCACGAATAATGGAAAATAGTATTTATGACTTAACAGTTGTAACTGCAACTAGAATCACAGTTTCTATTCTGTACCAATTAATCATTATTATATAGTATCAAAGCTCTAAATACCATTTCTCACAGAAATACAAAGACTCGCTCCTGCTCTGCAGAGTTTGCAGCTACACTGAACAAAGGAAATGAAGCAATGGGAAAATGACACATTAAATTAATTAATAATGCAGGCACATAGGTTTTAAACTGTCCATTTGTGCATTTAAAATGTTCAACAGCAATTCTTACCAGATACAGTACTAACCACGTTAAGCTCAGTGCGTGCTTCGAACAACAAAATTTTCACATTTTAGAATTTTAACACAGACTCATCTCAGAGGCTTAAATTAAGGTATCACTTAAATTGAGCTATCTATGAGACAAACACAAAACAAAGTTACTGAAAAAAGTAGCCTAAAGTCTCTCTCTGAAGTTAACCCCAGATATAGCCTATCTCCTCAGCTGTGTCTCTGTTTGCATTTAGTCCGTGTCATCCAGTGATACTGAGAAGCCATGTAAGACATATAAACAGTATAAAAGAATACTGAATTCTCTTAAGAAACAAGTTACCAATCACTGGAAAAAAAGGTCAAAATCGACATTTGAAAAATTATTCAAGATCTAAAGAGCTACTAGCCACAGATAACATCATCACTAAAAATAGCTTGTTTCAAAGATTAGTAAAAAATTCATAGCAACTTTTACACTTACAGGGAACGGCTCTAACCCCTCCTGAATCACAAAGCCTTCAATAACATGGGTCAGGATCTGTGGTTTAACAATAGCCTGTGGAGGTTTATTTTCTAGGCTAGGAATGCTATTGGGCATTGATGTGCTGTTGCTCCTTGTTGTTGCTGCTGGAAGCAACAGAGGTGGTGGTGGAATAGAAGCATGTGAGGGATCAGATGGAGATTTAATTACTGAGGCACTGACTGATGATGTCACTGAAGGTATTCCCCCATGTTCTGAAAAAAATAACAAAGTATGTCATGTTTTTATCACTTATGTCCAACCATTAGCTCAGAATTCTAGAAGTAAGATGTGATAAACACACCCATCTCTGCACCCATCATCCCATAACACAGGCTCTTCCCTATGGTTTATAGATTTTACCTTTGAAAAAAGATTTTTTTTCTTTGACATACTATTCCAACAAAGAGTTCTCATGTAAATATTTTCCTTGACTAAGTACCCACTAACTATAAGCACAGTTGGTCATTAATTACCTACACAAATCCTAAATCTGTAAGTCAAAGGCAGAAACCAGTGTTTTCAAACATTAGATTCTCAGGACTGAACAACTGAGGTATTTCTAAAGAGAGAATTTATTTTCAGGGATGCTTTGAGCCTCAGCAACCTGCAGGGTCACAAACATATAGAACATCAAGCCACTAAGCACCCCATTATATGTATAGCATATCTCTCTATATATACATATACTGTACATAGAGTATATATTTGTGTATTTAGTTCATTGGGGAAGTTACAGTAGTGTGCAGGACAACAATTGATACAGGCATGTGTATCTTATAATTCACTGCAGAAAAATTTTCATTGGTTTTCTGCGCTACATGTTATCCAAATTGATATATAAGCTAAATCTTTGGGACTGAATCATTCATTTTATCATACAAATTTCTAATATACTTCATATAGTTTCTTTTACTTAAAAAATGATACCACTAAATAATATAAAAGACCAAAATAATAAATTTTTATTTTAAAACATCAATAACTAGTAGAAGTTTCTAAGCAGAACAGCTATCTTAGTTTGACATTTGTTCTCACCTGACAAAGGATCTTCTGAATTAAGTGCCTCTCCATTCCCTAAGGTTATGGCTGGTGGAGACAAAGTGGGTGGTGTAGGTGTTCTAGCCATATGGACACAATCTGATTCCTCGGGCATCTCTTCTTCACATACATTCTCCACTTGGTAAATCTGCATCCAACAAACTATTGCTTTAGAGAGATTTCCATTCTATCTTAATACCTTAAAAGAGTTGCATAAATACAGTTTGTAAAATAAATTACCAGTTAAAATATGCTTATCTCCTAACAAAATACTAGTTTCCAAACTGCGTACAAAAATACATTAAAAAAAAAGAATTCTGGCGACAGTAGAGCAAAAATAAAGTATTTTGTTATAAATAGCAAAATAGAGAGGCACAATTCTTCTATCAAACAGACCAGAGAACTTAACTTTTTCAATGTCTCATCCTTATAGTATTTTTATTTACCCACATTTTTATTTATTTAAACACTTGGGTAAAATGCAAGCTTTATAACATAAAGACAAGTCTGCACATTGTTCTTTATCTTAAACTGCAGTCTAATTAAACTGAGTATTTCAGAAGAGTACACCAAGACTATACTATCAAGTATTAGTGGTTATAAGAGATAAGGTATTTTCCTCAGAACTACTGAGGTAAATTTATGTGAATTACTGACCAGATTAGGATGTAAACCACCTTGTCAAAAGCAAACCTGACTGCTACTCTTTAGCCCAATTTCTACATGAAATATCAGAGATTAACACAATCCTCTTAATAAAAACAGCACACCTTCTTCCTTAACCCACTGGTAAATCAAAAAAAAGCCTACAAGAGCCGTGGATTCTTTTGCTCACGTTAAACTCATTAGCATGTTACCACTAAAGCCTAATGATGCCATCTTAAATGGCAGCATTGTTTGCGTATCATTTTATTTCACTATATGTGATTTTAGTTCAGTGTGAATGAAGCTGAAACCTTCACTTACAAACTGCAGATGTCTGAGACTAACACTGAACTAAATTAAATGGCAGTGATGGGGAATACCAAGCCAGCATCAAAAACTCCCCGACTCTTTTATGAAGAGGATTTTTCCAATGACAGTATAAAATTAATTATCCAGAACTGTTAATAATATGCTATACATCTTCACACCTTGTATAGAGATGATTCTCCTACTCAAAATTTCAATTGCCTATATCTGGATTAATATAAAGGGGTAGAAGCTAACAGTCCATACAGTATAATTTATCAAAATTCATTGATGTGTTGACATATATTTACTTGCTTTTTTAACTTGAGATATGCTGCAATGTCATTAAGAGATAAGATTTTAGGTCCAAAAGCTGCCCTTTCATGATTCTTGGTTGATATTCTTGACTGACAATCCATTACAAAAAGAAAAAAAAAAAAATCAGAGGCAAATGTCTATTTTTTCTTAAACCTCATTCCTGTAATCAATTAGTGCCTTCTGGTCCTCTGTCTAGCACATGGTTTAGCTCCCCCTGAAGTCAATGGGCAAGATTTACAGTTCTTTAGAGAAGCCGAGGATAAAGAATAAAGGACTGCAGTATTACCACTTACCACCGGAGTTTCAATTGGTACTGATGGCTGCACTTGAAGATTTACTGCAACAGTCTGTGGTGGTGGAAGAGTTTGAAATGGCAGCTGAACCAAAGCCTCTGCAGCAGGAAGCTCTTCCTCAGAAACCAAAGTGTTTTGAACCAAAACCTGGCCCTGGGACAGAATTTCAGGCTGCACTTGTAAAGACTGCACAGACTGCAAGGGCAGTTGTTGAATCTGGGTTGAAGAAGTTGACAGCTGAGGAGGAGCTGCCAGAGGGATAGGTGTGGACTGCAAGGCTGAATATTGCTGGTGGGGCGTCGAGGACACAATCTGTTGGCCTGGGGAAACTAAGCTGGGCTGATCTACTGACCCTATATGTACAGCGGGGGAAGAGGGAAGCGGCAGATGTGACGGAAGATTCAGTGGCTGTGCAATTGGTCGGACTGGATTGGTAGCAGTTTGCTGAGGAGCAGCCTGCTCTGGCTGAAGAGCTGTTGGCACGAGGGAGTTCGCCTGTGACTGAATAAGTGCCTGAGGGTGAATAATTATTGTGGGTGATTGACTAGGGGAGTGTGAAGGTGGAGGGGATACCACCACTGACTGCTGAGCTGACTGGGATGGAGTAGGAGACAGTGTTAGAGGTGGAGGATGGAGGTGAATGGGTGAGCAGTGGGACTGGACACTGCTAGGACCCGGAGGAAGACCATGGCTTGGGAGTGGCAGGCAGTGCTGTGACGGAGGGGGCTCCTGGCCCGGCGGCGTCTGAAGTGCAATCGGCTGGACTTGCTGCTGCTGCTGCAGTATCAGCTGATGATGGGAAATCTTTGGAGGTGGTGAATGAAGTGGGATCTGCTGATGTTTTACTAGAGAATGAGGTTGCAATGGAGAATATGAAGCTGTGAGGGGGGAAAGAAAGTGACAATTAGTATTCATTTAAGTCCAGAGAACATTCTAAAAATATTAAAAGAAAGAAAGTTCTTCCTTTTACAGTAAGACCAGCACAACTTTTTCAACTCTTTGGATCTATGTTTGGAAATATCTTCTTTAACAGCACAGGGTACACAAGAACAATTTATTAGGGGAATATATCAATTTCCAAAGCAAAATGCAGCAGTGAATAAAGGAACATAGCCAATGCTTTTTACATATATATATATATATATACACACATGTAAGTACTTTCTGTATAAAAGTATCTAAACTTATCTTTTTGGTGCTAGTTCTAAGATTACTGCTGACCCAGCCTTCACTTATTTATGAATTTCATGCAAATTTAGATGGATTTAACCTTTGCTTTGAAACAGACTGGAATGAAGAGATAAGCATGTCACAATCAACAGGATTTGTTGGTAACTGCTAAGTTAAACTTTAGGTAATACAATTTTAAAAGACTACACAAAATTACAAGAGTTCAGTATGAATTGAAACCTTGCAAAGTATTTGCCTGAATCTGAACACACAACTGAAAGGTATGAATCTTCCAGAGTACAGCTTCCAGAGATATCACATCACCTTTAAGTGAACCAGTGACTCACTAGTTACTCCTTACAGCATCTGCACACATTTTCCTCCACATGCAAGCCTCTTCTTGTCTTTTCCACTTGACAAAAAAACTCACTTACGTTATCTTTTTTATTATTCTGCTAGTGAAGATTTTTTCCTTACAGAAGTGAGTTCTAAGAGCATTAGTGCTCAATACTTCAAGAATATTTGCCTCAGTCTTACTCCTTCTCTAAAAGCTGCCATTAAGTCAAGCTAAATTCCACAGAATTCAGATCAATTTTCTAGACTACCTTTACTCTTCCAAAATAATTAAGATAATGCAAATACATTGCATGCAATGTAAATGATTATCTAACCAACTGCATGCTTATTTGGGTTTTTCTCTTAATATAAAATACTAAGATTTTGGGGCACTAATACCTATGGATATATAAAACTACTTGATATAAGAACATTCTGATGACACAGATAAGACAGCAAAAAAATAACACCAACAAAATGGATTTTGATGAGAGCAAAAAATAGATTTTGATGAGATGGCTTGAGGTGGTTTCAGCCCACATATTTTTTCCCAGAGATTGGGGATGACGTGTCCTGACAAGGAGCACACAGAGGGACCAGTAATGAGAATCATGTTTGCATTGTGATTCAGCTGTGTATTGCAATTGCTATATTGTGCTTCTATTGTGATTTAAGAACACTGCTGTATCACCCTGCTAAATCAAAATCCTGTGTAACATCCAATAGCAACAAGTAAGTAAATTTACTATTAAACACTAAGCTCTATTCATGTGGAATATCCACAAGAACCCAGTCAGAAAGCATTGGACTCTGACAGAACCATTACAAATTAACTTTAATTAAAATAACTTTCTTATAGCTCCATTTTCATCCTACCTGGTGTTATTAAGTGATGTATACTTGACGTCCGTGTGACTGGTGTACTCCGACACTCTGGAGTTGGGCTCTCGCCTTTTCTATTGCTTTCTGAGGAATCTGGTTGGCTGCCCTTGGAACTGGTTACAGGTTTATTAGGGCACAGAGACAGTGACTGAGTTTGACTGCTGCTCTTTGGTGGGCCATTCTGTGAACTTGACAACACACCCAACTTCTGACTGCGCAGTGTCAAGTTCTGAACCTGGGAAATGAGCAAAATGTAAAAAAATCCAAACCATAAAAACACCTGTGACAAGCATTCAGGCAAAAAGAGCAAAAAAATAACGTTAGGTCATGCTTCTCATCCCACGTGATCAAAGTAACATGAGAAGTTATAAATCTGCATATTGAAGTATCCTTTAAGCCACAAAATTGAGAGAAGAATAGGGATCTTAAATTACTTCAGTGATTAAGAAAATGCGTGGAAGTCTTTTTTTCTTATTGAACTTTTAAAAGAAATGGAAGTTGTTCATTACATTAATTTGAATTACAGTTTGCAGTTTTTCTCTTTTATTGTCCTTTCAAAATGAATGACACAAAGCATCTTAAGCAAATGCAATGATATTTTTATACAGATGCTGCAGAAGTGCAGTGGTTTGTAGGCATCCTTCCGGAGACTAACATAAACCAGAGCCTTGGGTAGTCAGTGGGACCAGAATCTGCTGTATGTTATCCATGTCTTAACAAACCTGAGCCCTTTATTTCTACAGCAATATCAATTTACCTTTTCATCATGACACCTCCAATGTCACATGAAACAAAAGGTTTGCCTTCTGAAATGTAAATGAGTCAGTGATTATTTTCACTAATGCCTGTTATATCACAGCCAGATTCTGTACATAATGATCCCAGCTTTCCAATCCTTCATGCTGAGATAGACTTTTATTTTCAAGGATAAAGACTACCCTTGTAGGACTAATTTACATCATACTTTACATGAAAAAGAGGACTAATTATTATCACCATCCACTATTTTGATTACATAATCCCTTCCTCATGCAACAGTTTGTACTTGTGCAACAAACAGCTAGTTTACATCTTACTTCTCGCTGTTCAGTGTGTTACCACAGGACATATTCAAATCCTGTTCTGAAGACAACAGTATTTGTTTCCTTATTGGCATGCATGAGGCATTTACTGCAATCCTATCTCTGTGCGTACAAATCAACCTTCAGCACACTTTAGCAGATAAGGTAACTAATCTTGAGATGTCCAGGTCATACATGAGGGGGACACACATGGTAAGAAAAAAGTATGAAAGCAGAAGGGAAGAAGAGTAAGTAGCAGAGAAGCGTCGGTTCACTTAACAGGCCACGCTAGGTGTGACACTGAGACACTGCTCATCATTGATGAACTGAGCTTCTCTGGTACTTCTACGTGGAAGATGACACTGTGAGATCACTACACTGTACCTTCACGAACATCTTTCTAAGTGTAAATACACCCGTATGTATATAACTAAATACTTTTTTTTAAATAACTAGCATTGCCTACTTGCTCAGGTTTGCTTATATGGTAAACAGGGGCATTTCTCTAACCCAGCTGACTGAAACTCCAAGGATGTATTTATCATAAGGTAAGAAAAATAAAATGTATCGGTATTAAAGCTTTTTCACTCTATCACTGAGTGCAGATGAAAATGTATGTCTGCGATGTCACTGCTGCTATAGAAACTACCAGACAATCAAGGTTAACAACATCTAGCAATAAGGCAGTACTGAGCATTGAGAGGGGAGAGGAACGGCTTGAGTTTGGCAGGGTCACCACAGCAGCTCATCTGACTGAGGAAAGCTCTATAGTCTGGGGTGAGATCTTCTGTCCCTCTGTAACAACGTCTCAGGAAGTTGTGCCGCCAGGCAGACTTATGCTAAGTGGACCTCTAAAACCCTGCCGTACTGAAGGACCATGACTGTGAAGTGACACGCTTTGTTGACATCTCTGCCCTGAATGAAAAAGATACAAAATGCAAGAAGAGCTGCTGGCCTGGCCAGTAACCTCTCTGCACTTTCAGCCTTGATCTGCAGAATCTGGAGGAAAGAGAGGCAGCTGTGATAAAGGCTAATGAGCCATGATAGCTGCAAGACTGAAGGCACGGTCCATCTTTTCAATGAAGCCTCAACTGATGAACTTCAAACATTGTGAGCTTGCTCAACAGCATCCTGCATAAATACGCAGCTGGATTCCAGCAAGCTCTGCCCACCTCACAAAGCAAAGGGAAGACAAGCTTCAATGATTTACCATTGTCTCAGAACAGTGATGCATCTTTAATATCTTCACATCTACTAGAATCTTCTGAAGGGGTCAACAAACATAAAGTCAGAGAACATTCATCTGGTATTGGATTTCTAAAAGGTTTCTAAACAAGGCCTGTTTATCAAAAGGCTTTTAAAGAAACTGCTTAGACAGAAGGGAAAATCTCTCATGAAAGCATAAACATGTTAGATAAATGTTCATTTTTCACAGCAGAAGACTAATATGTTCTGTAATGATCTGTACAATGACATATTTTTTCCAGATGATAAACAAATATGTTGTGCAGTGAAAAGGTGATACAAGTTCAGGTGGTAACAGCAAGTTAAAGTAAAGATGAGAGCCAATTACAAGAACCTAAAATGTCATATCCAGGACCCGAATTTTACATATAACTTGATCACCTCTAAATGTGCAGTGATGGCAAACAGAAGGCACTGAAGTTGTCCATAACCAGCACCCATTAGTAGTTTGTATAAGCAAGTAAACTTAAGCACAGTGTTTCCTTACTTTTCAGTTTTGACACACTCTACTGGACATATTTTTAATAAATTTACACAACCTCACCTGAGTAGCTGCAGACTGACAAGAAGATGAGGAAGATGATGAGACAACAGGAATGTCAGACTGGACAGCAGCCACAGTGGTTGCAGGAGTAAAAATAAGCTGTTAAGCAAGAAAAAAAAAATCTGGTAACAGACTGAAACTTTGAAAATATGTGTAAGAAATGCAATATTTTACATGCAGTGATTACAGTTTTTTACTTTTTTACTTTTAGATGAACTTACACAAAGAACAATTTATCATGGTAGTTTAAGTAAATAATATTAAAAGATAATAATGTAATTTAAATATAATAATGTAAAATATTTGTTCTACATATTGAGAAAACTCACACATATATATATATACACACACCTATCTTTCATACAAGCATTTTAAAGAGGACTCCAATATTACAAATGAGTGAAACAAAGGCAAAAAAAAGTCAAGAGAGCAGCCCAATATCTACTATGTTAAAGAAAGAGAATTTAGATCTTCCAATCTGTCAAAATGTTATTTAACAAGCAGAGTTACATGAACTTCAACTATGCTAATTAAGTTTCGTATCAAGAACAGGTATCATAGATCCAACCTGAAATTACTAACTTCAGAATACCAGCGTATCTAACTATCATTTTTTTTTTTTTTTACAGGCAATACAGCAAAGACAAGCTTATGGAAGGCTTTGAAAAGAGTCCATTAGACAGTTTTCCATGTTTTTAAAGAGATCTCAACTGCAAAGAGCAGCTAAGAAGAAAACATGAAGGTGTTTATCTGGAATGGAACTGAGCTAGTGATGAAGCTGTTGGTAGGAGCTAGAGATATGACTTGACCTTATTACAGAAAACAAAAGTTCTTGGTGATGGAGAATACATGACTTTTGGTACATTAGCTAGAAACACTGAAAGACGGGTACGATGTCTGAACTACTGAGGCTAGCAAAATGATCTTGCAATACCATTCTAAACAACTAATAGAGTAAATTTCTCTCTTGGAACTGGGGTGTAAAGCAGTTATTCAAATAAGCATGGGATTTGACATTGAGACTCTGGATGAGAGTTTAGTGTAAATGAATAGGAAACTGTAGCAATAATCCATGTCATTGAGAAAGATTGCTACTACAAAACCCAGCAATGTCATCCTCAGTGCTTCAGCTACTATGTTGTTAAAACATACTGAAAGGCAGTGACATGTAATGACTTCATAATTCCTGTTCTGTTTAATAGTACTAGATGCATTCAACATCTAGCTTTGCTTACAAACCAGAAACTCAAGAAATCCTTTCACTAGCAAATGGATAAACAGGTGCTTGATCTTTACATCCTTATCTTCTTTTTTCCATAAACATATAGGAAATCAATAACCAAAATAAAAAATGCAACCTAGCATAACAGCATTGCTGTGCATGCCTAAGAAAAATATCAGAAAAAGAACAGAGGATCTCTTTTCCCAAACATACATCATAGGTGCAATTCCTGCAAGAACTCACACTTGCATCTAGTTTTATATACCACTGCAGTCACTGACCTCTGGCTCTGAACCTCAGTATAGCGTAACAGTGATTCTTTCTATTTCATGCAGTTGAACATAACACTAGAAAGACACTAAAAACACTCATAGAATCTCTGGCCTTTAACAAGTACTGACTGGTACCTGAGCATTCATGTACAACTTTGGTAATTTCTGTGAAATCCCACATAGATTATAAGGTTCAATTCATATGACACTGACTAGAGAACGTATTTAAAAAAAAAAAAAGAAAAATCACTGAACAGATTTTTCAAAGTTGCCCACTGAGAACTGGAAATGTCGTATTGACAGAAAATTGCAAGAATCTAATGAGTTTCACATGAATCCAAAGAGAATGATAGCTATGTATCTCACTTGAATTCTAGAGACAATAATGCAAAGAACAATCTTAGTTAAATATAAGAAAATTTTAATCAAGATGGAACTCTGAATGTTACCCATGCATTGGAAAACAATCTACCTTGAATACAGACTCCAGTATGCCCTTATACACGCCAGGAAAGACAGGTGCTCTTTTTTTATTTTTCCCCACGTTTGATCAATTTAATAACTGTAGTACAACCAGGCTAAAAACAGCTGAGCAAACTTCAAAGACCTAAGCTACAGCAATTCTTTTACTTCTGATGTCTACAGTGTTCCAGAAGATATGTATTCACAAACTAGTGACTAAATACTCAATGCTACCTGAAAATAAAGAAAAATATTTATAAATAATTACAGAAACAAAATAAAAATTGACACAGTTATGGTGTGGGAGGGGGGGATAGTGTGGAAACAACAGGGACGGACCAAAACCAAGCTTAAGAATCATAATCAAAACTTACCATTTGAGCTCGTAGATACATTTGAGCCTGGCTTGCACTCAGGGTTGGAGAGGTGCTCCCCAGCAACATAGTCTGTTGGGTAATACTGCTGCTGGTGGTGTTGGAGGTCTGTGAACGGCTTATTATCTGTGCAGGTGTAGGAGAGGTGGAGAGGTTAATCTAAGGAAACAAAAATATTGCTTCTGTCATGGAAATTCATTCATTCTAGGGTCTAAAGCCAGAAAGCCTTTGACAAAAATGGCAGGGGAAGTTGAATCTCTGAACTGTAAAGATATCAAAAATATACTGAGCCAATCATGACCAAACTGAATTCTGGCAAGATTGTACATTTTCATTCTTAAACTGCAATCAACCATTTTGCAGCAAATAATAAGCAGTTGAGAGTATAAACAATGTTATTATGAAGTCTGAAAAATATACCTCACAGAAATACACATTTACAGAATATGTAACATGAGCTTATAATATTTTAAGAAAAATACCTGAATTTTAATATTTAAGCATCTTTAAGTGTTTATATTACCTGACTGGACTGATATCTTCTGTTACACTTTTTATGCAACGTGATCAGGACACTCCTTTGTGCTGCCATATATGGAATTTTGATTCCTTATTCTACATATGCACATTTAAAAATTACTGGAGATTAAAGATTTCTACAATTTCACATGAAATACTTCTCAACAATTGCTCTTTAGCATCTTCTCAAACAAAAGCTGTTGTGGTTTTGGTTTTTTTGCTTTACTTTTTTTTTTTTTCCTAACCAGTCTAACAGAGTTAAGTGCCCAGCTCTTTTTCATCATTTCCTCAAAAGATTTCCTTGAAAAATCCCAGCCCAATTATTCTGTTAAACATCAGACTTCTTTAAAGACTTTCCCTCCTAAATTTAATAAATGGATTATTTTACTTCTAACAACTGTAAGCCAAAGCAATGCTATGAAAGCTTAAAAAAATATACAGTTAAATCACTGAAGCTATGCACTGAAGTCATGAACAGCTTGAGGGCATGATTAATAAGCAGGATGTCTGTAGGACTAAAAGTCCTACTCAAAACAACTGTAGAACTGTACATAAGAGACTGTGCAAATTACATGTCTGAAGATGCTGCTTAAAGAAATACAGCATGAACTGAACACAGAGCTGCTAATAACTGAAACCCGAGCACATGCCTAGAATATGGATAAAGTAATTGAAAGTGTATAAAAGATGCATGATAAAAGATGATAATCAATAAAGAAATGAGTGCTGTAAACATTTAATCAGTTTCATATATACAATGTCAGCATTGACTCGGATTCTTTAGATTTGGTGCTGTTTCATCAGTGATACACAGTTATAATTTTAACCTACAATATTGCCTTGAATAAAGAAACTAATGTGAAAAATCCAGTGAGAAATTATCTAAGAGACAGAAGCTCAGGGAGTGACTCTTGCCATGGTCTGAACAGTCACTAGTGCTTGTGGAGTGAGCAGCTGCCCCTCAGAGCACCACGAGCAGGCTGGGACCAGGGAAGCCTCCAACGCTGGCCAGCAATGACAGCAGCCAGCAGGACGCAGCAGGATGACTGGCAGATGCTGGAAGTGCAGCCAACACTTACTACAGAGTCATCATACTTCTATTTACTGTTTCTGTAATACTAATTTTAAGCACAGAAATTTAAATACTAAAATATTTTCTACTTTTCCAAGTAGTTATATACTAACCAAGAGGGGTTGTGAATGGATGGAGGGCTTTGTTCAGTTACGTACCGAGGTCTGCGACATGCTTGACTGCTGAGTGACACTCCCAGTGGGGGAAGTACATTGCCTCCCACCTGACAGGCTTGCCTAAATAGCAAGAATATGTGTCAAATATTGAAATCAAAAAGTGTTTAAGTGATGTTCATATTATTGCATAAACGATCAGAAACATCCCTCTCTACCATTACCTTTTCTCTGAGTTAACAGTAAAAATGCTTTACTCAGTGGAATTAGTTTTCAGCAAAGTGCACTCTGCTGTGAAATGCTATCTGCAAGGTGCTAAATGCCTTGAATTCCTACCCAATTTCAGGCACTCATATTCTTGCAGATCAGAAGTTGAAAAAAAAAAAACTATCAGAAGTAAAGTCTATTAAACTGTTAATGATGGAGCTAACTAATCAGCTCATCGCCTATCATGCTCAGAACTTAAATCATGACATCATTAAAAACTGTCATTATTAAAACTCACATTAAAACTTTTATTATTATTAGAGTCCTCAAAAAATAAAACAGATTTTATAAATGCTCAAAGAACACCCTCATATTCTAGAATGATAATTTATGTATGCACATCTAGTGTCTGTAACAGTACGTTATTCCAGCCCTTCAGATGAATACAGGGACAGTAATTTAGATTTCTGTATTAACAGACTGCATACCAAAACTTCTTAGCCCTCCCCAATCCGATTTTCTTTGTTCTGTCTCAGTAACTGTATATGCACACACAAATCCATCACAAAAAAAGGACAAATCAATATATCACCATGATCTAATGGAAAAGGTAGAGAAGAAGAAGCCAGGAGCACAGAAGAGTCAGTCTCAGTTCTGACAACAAACAGCTAAATCTCTGACGTCTTTAACTCCATTTTAGCATTTCCATGTGTAAAATCATTAACCACCACCTATCTCTGCGAGACAGTATTCTCAATCCAAGGTTAACTGAGGTCAAAGGAAATCTTTCCACTGCTTGAGTGTTCAAAATGGGTCTCCTCCAGTGTTCACTAATGTTAAAAGCTGTGCTTCAGAAATTAAATGTCATTTACTTCCTACATTTCCACACTCAGAGTTAAAACTGAATTTTGCCATTATTTATAATGCAGCCAGATGTGTGGCAAAACACACTAAGATGCCAGATGTTCATTATTGTTACTTGATTTCACTAAGACACATTGCTATTCACCGCTTTCCCCATCAACTTTTAGAGAAAATCATGGGATGAAGATTGAAGTAGTCTATTTTTAATATTTTATTACTGCTTGATGATTTACATGATGCATTTTAATGTATGCAATAAAGCATGGAATGGTCGCCTACTGGAGCATCTGTAACACTGGACAAAATCCTCCAAATAGTTTGGAGGAAGATACAGATTAAAATAACAAAGTCATCAAAATATAACAGTGAATTATTGTGAGGCATTAAGCTCAGGCACTTAAGCTGTTATTATGTTTGACAATGCTCTAGAATTGTAGTCCTGCTCTAGAAAGTAGTAGACCATTCTTTTTCAGCAATCTTCACTCTCACCTGTGGTACAGTTGCCAGACTCTGAAATTGGGTACTGCTTAAGTGCTGCTGCTGCAAAGCAGCAGTCTGCAGCATTAGATGCTGCTGTTGGGCTGCATACATCTGCTGGAGGTACTGAGCAGCTGAGCTAGGAGGACGATGCAAGGCCTGCTGAATAACCTGTGATGAATCAGTAGGTAATTAATTACAATTACAAAATACACACCATGCTGACATGATGCTGAAGTTTACCTTTACAAGGAAATAAAACCAAATAAGTTCTTTTCACACCAATTATGTCATACTGAACTTCCTCCATCACTGTTCTCAGCCAAGTCACAGAATATAGTCAACATAAATATATTCACGCTTTCAAGGAAAGCCTGACAATCAGCTGGCAATACAGCATCATTCATAACACAACACCCAAGCCTCTTAGGTTCTTGTCAACAAGTCCTACGTAATGTTCTGCTTTTTTAAAAATCAGGACAGCATGTGACAAACTCAATTATCAAACCAACAGAATGGACTGCACAGAGCTTGAGGAAAACTCAATTATCAAACCAACAGAATGGACTACACAGAGTTTGAGGAGACCTAATTTAAAGAACAGCAAGAGGGGGCTGGATCCAGAGGAGCAGTTAGACACACACAGAGATCCCTGTAGGGATCCCTGTAGTCAATGTTGGTCAGACAAATAGCCTTATTTTCTGTTATCTTGTAAAGTCTTACGTTAATAATCCATACCCTTACAGAATGGGAAAACCCCCCAACTTTATAGTAGAGCATTTCCCCCTCCCCTATTTGGGAGGCAGGTGTGTACCCTGAACTATTGTTAAGTGGTCTGATACCCCTTCAGCAAAACTGAAAACTAGTAAGACAGATATTGAGAAAGCAGACAGCAATTAAGAATGGAAAGTTAATCTTGTGTAAAGTATGGTGCAACACCCGTGTTTGAGAGCAATGTATAGTACAGGAAAGAATATCTCACAGCCCAGTACCTGGACGGCATGCCTGTCAGAGCCACTGTAGACAGAAATCTGTGGTAGCTGTGTCCGGGAAGTGGAGGTGGTAGTGATTGTAGTTGTAGATGCAGAACATGTTGTTGTGTTTGGTTCATTCTCCATAGCTGTGCAGTGTTCGTCCAGCCTGGCAGAATTAAAATAAAAGTGGTTCACAAACAGAAGGCTGGTACACACTGATTTTAAAGGCAAAAAAATAAATAAATAAAATCTCAACTTCACCGAGATAAAATAATGAACAGTTTTCAAATGGATAAGTTTGTAGGGTTTGGTATTACTTGATGGAAATTGTTGAGAGGTGTGGTTATAATCTTCCAAGATACATCAAGAGTATCAATAGGTGACCAATTTAGGAATACACGCAAGATTTCTAGCAAGCTACACAGGAGTACTGTCACATCCCTCTTCCCCACAGCATAGCACAAGAAACAGCTGCCTGAACATTCCATACATTCAGCAAAACGTTCTTGGGAAAAATCACTGGTGCCATGCTCTATTTGGAAAGAAATGGAAAAGATGTAGAGAAAAACACTTTTACTTTTTACAACAATACCTCCCAAAACCAGCAACAATCAAGGAAGAAACTACCTATGTTAAGTATTGCTGATGATTCCTCCCCAGCCTGACGAGATACCCCTCTCTTGCAGAGTACAATCTCTCTCCCAAAACGTCACATTTAAAACGAAATCGCAATATATGAGGGGTGTTTACCTTAGTTTCTTTTTCAGTATTAGTATTATGATTAACAGGAAGTGGCATAGTTGCTGTTTATTGCTTTTAAAAGGATGTTAAAAAAAAAAAAAAACACAGGTGGGGAGAAGATGCGCTTCCTTCTTAAAGTAAAGCAGGGCTCAGAAAAATAACCATTGAGAGAAATGCAGTGTACTAGAAAAAAAGCAGCGCTGCCAAGTGCTTAACAAACCGCCCATCGGATGCTGCAAACAGGAACGTAATTAGGAGTTTCAACGCACACAGCTGAAAGCAGAATGCAGTGCTGCCAGGCTGCTGCCATCACCTCTCAAAACACGACTACTCTGCAAGTAGAGAACTGCACACGATGCCATAGCTCCCAATTCCTTGGAACAGCTAAAGTTTTAACAGATAAATGGTTACCCAAGGACCTCATGCTTCTCATTCTAGTGTATATCTGCATATGTTTTGCCATCAAATTCATGACAATAAATCAGGCTTTAAAAGCACAGATACCTACTATTAGAACTGAAGAAAAAAATACGGCTTTGCTGTTAAAAATTCAGATCTGTTGTGCATTATCGATGCCATTTGTCTACCTACATTAGATCACAAGTTAACATAAATGGTTAACCACTTCAATTGCAATAAAACCAGCATCACTTGTAAAACCACTTTACATTAATTTCACATAATGCTAATAAAAAGTACCTTGAAAAAAAGTCCTGTCTCCTCCAGAAGACATAAAAAGCACATCAAAATATTTACACCTACAACTTGTCTAGCTAGTTTTAGCAGAGTTATGCAACCACTTAAATTAGCCTAAGAAAACAATATTGGATGTTTAATTTCCTTCTTTCTCAGCCATGTTTTAGATGTATTAGTGAGATGTGCAATGTATCCCACTCTACTAGCTATTCCATCAGAAGTTCAAGCCATGAGAGCTGTTAATCCTTGAGCTGAAAGTGCCTCATTTTCAAAAGTAATTTTGTCATTGCCCAAGTTGATGCCGTAACAGATGTACAACAAAACCAGGAAAGAGCTCCTGAACTTTTGTTCAAAGTGGCCTGGCGCCAAGGGGCATCCCCAGTCCTCCTCTAACACCTCAGAGCAGATACGAGATGCGGTAGGGCCGCGGGGTGGTAAGCAAGCAACACAAACACCACGCAGCACAGCACTAACATACAGAAATAGCTTGCCCTCTTTCGGCTGAAGGACTAGTAAAGTGCTTCAACAGATGACACCTAGGAATCTCTCCTCCGTAAGTGAGAAGAGAGATGTTTAAGGGATAAGAGGAAATACATAAAAAGTGGTTGCTTTTAGCAAGGAAACCAAGCATCCATTGCAATTTAGCAGATGGATATTTTATGACAGCGTAAAAAACATTACAGGCTTAAAATTAGACTGCCTTTACAGTGTCGCTTTACTAGTTATAAAAAGATCTCAGATATAATCGAAAATAATCTTCTGAAGTTGTTCACTGGGTACTCGATACAAAAAGGCAAAACTCCTAACTTACAATAAAATTAATTTTGTTAAACATATGACAAGGACCTTACAACATTGCCTGTGAGCAACTCGAACCTCTGTAATGCAAAGAAAGTTTTAGAAAATGCACTAAACTGACTTCAAACAACCACTACACATTAAAGGAAGCCTAAAATACAAAGCACAATAGGACACTGTATTGAAAGTAAGTATTTATTGAAGCAGCAACTGTAGATAACACTACAGAATTTCAAGTTACACTGTGTGTAATGTGAAAACTCAGAAGTTTTGTTCTCTTTATATTTTTTGGTCAAAGCAAATACCTAAAGTAAAACAATACCTGTTATTCTATGCCAGTAACATTAAACTAACTTCACAGCAGATAGGAATTTCACTGCTTACGTTTGAGAAAGTTTTACATTTGGTAAACATCATGGTAATAACGAACTGCTGACAATCTGCTACCATAACTGGTATTTAATAATAAGTGAGTTTCTAACATATACAGTTTATTCTTATTATTTCCATTCATGACCTCTCCTTACAACTCCATGGGCTCAAACCACAGAAAAATAAATGAAAATTTCCTCCAAGTCTAACTCCTACGGGCATTTTTGTATGTGACTGAAGGCTTGGAAATAAATCCTCTCGTTTTCCCTTCACTCCAGCTACATTATCGACCAGCCTTGCCCAAACCTTAGGGCTGTGGTTTTGTTAAAAAAAGGGGAAAAAAAAAATAAATTTAAAACTATGCTGCGTAGAAAGAGGCCATGCGGTGCAACTTGCCCGCGGACCGGCACGGAACAACCCAGCCCGGGGGTGCCCGGGCCCGGCCGCCGGCGCGCTGAGGGAGCCCCGGGGCAGCTCCGCGGGCAG